TGCCTCCAAGAAACTTCTGGGTGCGTCGATGCAGTGGTTCCCAGAGAGGCTTCGGGAACCAGCGAGTGCGCCTCTCTGGGGGCATCGTCTAGGATACAGTGCCGTGATGAGATTGCCCAATTTTGACGGGTCAACAAAAGTGCATCCATCCTTCCTCCGCAATGCGAGCGCACGTCGCTAGTCGCCCCGTTAGGGACGTGGAGCCTGGTACAATGTTACGGGGGAAATGCCTCGCAACCAGGGCAAAAGGCAACCTGGGGTTTGGTACCCTAATTCGAACCTTATTACGCCAAACGGGACGGCGGTTCGAAAACAACGAACCGCGTGGGACATCCTCACGAAACTGGCTGTCCTGACGGTTCGACCTCGGTTCGAAACAAAAGAATCCGGTTCAAAACAAAAGCAACACGAGCGTTTCGCGTGGGACTTCCTCCAAAATAAGGCGTCGGACCCGGTTCGAAACAAAAATATGGCGCTTGAAAAACGGCAAACCGCGTGGGACATCCTCACATAACTTGTTGTCCTGTCGGTCCGAGCTCGGTTCGAAACAGTGGGATGGCGGTTCGAAAGCGGCAAACCGTGTGGGACATCCTCACAACAATTGTTGTTCTGACGGTTCCAAGTCGGTTCGAAACACTGGGATGCCGGTTCGAAAACGGCAAGCCGCGTGGGATGTCCTCACACAAATTGTTGTTCTGACGGTTCCACGTCGGTTCGAAACAATCGTATCCAGTTCCAAACGGTTAGAAAACGAGCGTTTCGCTTGAGATTTCCTTGAAAATACGGTTGGAACCCAACGGCCGCGTCGACGACGACCACGACGACGACGATATGTGGTCTCGCCTCGCCGCTGGCCACGATTGGCCGCGTCTCGGTCTGGCCGACCGCTCTCCCTTCAGCAAGGAGAGGCCCCAGGGGCGGCGCTTCCCCCTTGTGGGAGGGGGACGTGTCGGGGGGAGACGACGCCACCCTTCTCGGGGGGACATACTGTTGTTTTGTCACCCCCCAAAACACGGACATTTAGGAGCCAACCAAGCCGCCCGTCAGGGTCCCTATTTGCTTGTGTCGCTTGCTCGGCCCTGGTTTCTATTGGAACCCATCTGTTTTTTGAAACAATTCTCTGGCTTCCTATTTTTGCCCCATTTTTGTTGTTGTTTGACCCCGGCTTCGAGGCCCAATCCAGCAGTCAAAACTCGACCTTCTAGTAGTAAATTCGCGTGTTGTCGCAACAATCTCGATTGCTATCGCAAATCCAGTGCGAATTTATCCAGTTTGTCCTTGCTGCAACTTGTGCGGCAAATTGGGGGAAGAAGGGGTGGAAGGATGAGGGAGGAGCTTGCGTCGATCAACTTTCAGGGTTTATTGACATTGTTGTGCTCTGCGTACTTGAGCTGCTTGTCAGCAGTGGTGTTCACTCGCAGTGTGGCGTTCACAAGCGACGGGGCGCTCACACTCACAATGGTGCTCAAGCGTTGCTGGACTCGGGTGGTGTTGATCCGGCTCCGAGGCCCAATCCAGCAGTCAAGACATGGCCTTCGAGCAGGAAATGTGCGCGTGGTCGCAACAGTCTCGATTCTGATCGCAAATCCAATGCGAATTTATCCAGTTTGTCCTCGCTGCAACATTTGGGACATGTTGGAGGGAGGAGGGGTGGAAGGATGAGGGTGGAGCTTGCATAGACTTACTTTCATGGCTTATCGATGTTGTTGTGCTCTGTGTGCCTGGCGTTCGCTGGCAAGGTCCCAGCAGTGCGTTCAGAGTCACATTGGTGCTGAGGAGTTGTTGGACTCAGGCAGTATTGATCCAGCTCAGGCCGAATCCAAGAGGTAAACGATTCTCTTGGAAGAAATGTACGTGCGGTCGCAACAGTCTCGATTCCCAACGCAAATCCATTACAAATTCGTCCAGTGTGTCCTCGCTGCAACTTTCGGGCCAAGTTGGAGGGAAGAGGGTTGGAAGGATAAGGGAGGAGCTTGGCGATGTTGTGTCCACAGGCATCTGGGTGCGCTCACTGTCATTGTGGTGCTCAGGCGCTGATGGGCCCAAGTAGCACTGATTGTATCTCGGTGCAGCCAGCTCCACATCACAACGACACCGACGGAAGCACCCTCTCATGCCACCACAGCGTTTGGATGCATCGTAGCCATTACTTCGGCTACGCCAAACAAGGACAACACTTTAATCACGCCCATGTATGGACGCGATGCGTATTTAGAGCCGTTTATGGCCTGTCTTTGGGGGTAACGGAAAGAGCGAGGTACGAGGGATGACGTTCTGGTATGGGCGAAGCCCTAAAGGGAGGGGTTCCAGGGGAGGGGGGGTAGGGTGCACATTTGAGTGTTAATGGCGGTGTTCGGGTTTTCCCTCGGGTTTTTGCATGTTTTTCGTGTTCCCCCCCCAAGACGGCCCAAGAGCGCTCCAAGAGAGCCCAAGACCGCCCAAGACGGCCCAAGAGGCCCCCAAGAGGCCCCCAAGGGGCGTCCCAAGAGGGCCCCAAGAGGCCGAACTCTTAGATTTTCCAAAAGGAAAACGTATACTTTTAGCATCTGCGCTTTGTCGGCTTTCACGGCGTTGACGACGGCCCAAGAGGCCCCCAAGACCGCCCCAAGACGGCCCAAGAGGCTCCCAAGAGGCCCCCAAAACGGCCCAAGAGGGCGCCAAGACGGACCAAGAGGCGCCCAAGACGGCCCAAGAGGGCCCCAAGAGGCCCCCAAGAGGCCCCCAAGGGGCGTCCCAAGAGGGCCCCAAGAGGCCGAAATCCTAGATTCCCCAAAAGGAAAACGTATACTTTTAGCATATGCGCTTTGTCGGCTTTCACGGCGTTGACGACGGCCCAAGAGGCCCCCAAGACCGCTCAAGACGGCCCAAGAGGGCCCCAAGACGGCCCCAAGAGGGGGACCACGAACCGAAAAGTCTAGCCTTTCGCCCCAAGACGCTCCCAGGAGGCCCCCAGAGCCCCCCAAGAAGCCCCAAGAGGCCCCCAAGAGGCGTCCCAAGAGGCCACCGGGAGGCGAGATTTCCTATGGGAAAAAGGTAACTTTTAGCATACAAGGCTTTTCGGCTTTCACTGCGTTGAAGACGCTCCAAGAGGCCCCCAAGACCGCCCCAAGAAGGCCCAAGAGGCTCCCAAGAGGCCCCCAAAACGGCCCAAGAGGGCGTCAAGACGGCCCAAGAGGCGCCCAAGACGGCCCAAGAGGGCCCCAAGACGGCCCCAAGAGGGGGACCACGAACCGAACAGTCTAGCCTTTCGCCCCAAGAAGCTCCCAGGAGGCCCCCAGAGCCCCCCAAGAAGCCCCAAGAGGCCCCCAAGAGGTTCCCAAGAGGCCTCCAAAAGGGCCCGACAAGGGCCCCAATAGGACTCCCAAGAAGGCCCAGAGACGCCAAATAGAGAGCGATCGGTAACGCAAAAAGCTCTTCACACCAAGGCTCCCAAGAGCGAACGGTGACGTAAACAAGCTTATAAGACCAAGGCTCCCAGCAGAGAGCGGTGACGTAACAAGTTCCTGACACCAAGGCCTAGCCAAGGCTCAGGAACGGGCGGCAACGCAACAATCTCTGAACACCAAGGCTCCCAAGAGCGAGGGGTGACGTAACAAGCTCTCAACGCCAAGGCTCCCATTACGAACGGTGGTGTGAGTAATTTCGGTTTCTGTTTCTGAAGCGCTCTTTCCGTTTCCGTGCCGGCCCAGGTCTAACGGGGCCGTTTGGGAGCTGTCTCTTGAGGCGATTTGGGGCCACCTTGGACTATCTCAGGTTCCTCTGGGAGGTCTTGGGGACCTCTCGGAGCTGTTTTGGGCCCGTCTTCGGCAGTCTGCGGGGGGCCCTCTTGGGCCATCTTGGGTTTCCTGAAGGGGCCCTCACGAAGCATCCGAAGGCCCCTCCTGGGCCGTCAAGGGCCCCCATTGGGCAGTCTTGGGCCCTTCCCAGGGGTGGCTCTCTTGAAGCCAGCCATGTCGGGCTGCGCTGGGGCGATACTGGGGGCCTCTGGGGCCCTCGTGGGCGCTATGACGACTGAAAAGGCGAGGACACGAAACTCACCAGAAAATCTATTGACTTCTGCCCTTCGGGGGCCTCTCGGGGGTCATCTTCGGGCCTCCTGGGCCAGTCTGGGAATCTCTTGGCAATCCTTTTGGGCTGCCTTGGACCGTCCTGGAAGCGTTCCCGCTACCCTTGGGCGCTCTGGTATCAGCTGGAGGTCCACTCGGGTCGCCCCTGCGCTGACTGGGGGCCACCTGGCGCTGGCTTGGGACCAACTGGGCGGTACTTTGGCCGCCAGGACCCCCCCCCCCCGGTCCTGCGAGGGGGGTTGGAGGCACCTGTCCTGGGGCCTGGGCCAGCCTACCTCGATGTGTGTATTATATATACACACGCACACGCACATTTACACATCAGAGTAAGTCGAGCGTTTGAAAGGGGGCGTGATCAAGGACCACCTTTGTTTTTGGGATGTCGCTGTCCTCGACGATTGCCTCAAGACCAGAAAGGGGCCTCCAGGAGAGCCACGACAACGTCCCCGAGCCTCCTAAAATGGCCCCAAATTGGCAATTGTTGGGGCTGGTTGCGCTGATCCTTCATTTGGTTTGACTGGTGCCCCCCCTCTTTGTTTCACGGAGGCTGTTCCACTGCCCTCTTGAGACGACGTTCCTCTGCTTAGTATCTGGGTGTGCGGATGGGGCTGCGCGAAAAGTTAGGAACTCGGACTCTTAAGAGATTCCATGCGTACCTGTCGGGCCAAAGCTGCTGGACAACTGCGGCAAGTCTGCCGCTCGTTGGAATTCAGTGGGCGAACAAAACGATCAGCATTGCGCCACCCACCCGTCGCGAGAGAATTCCATCATATGGTGGGGAATCAATCAGGTATGTACTTCTTTGGGGAGGGGGGAGAAGCAGTGGCAACAACAGATGCAACCACGCCTGCCTCACCAATGCTGCCTCCAACCCTAGATGCTTAGAAACCATGCATCATGCCACGGTCATTGCATGGTCGATCATCGTGCCACCGTAGAAAGCTGCTCCCCTTTGCGAGACGAACTCCTGGCATGGGCCGGTGCGAATAAACACGTTCTGCAATACAAAGAATGCGCGCAAGCGACAAGTGTCTGTGAACTGTGTTGCCCCGCATGCTGCGTGAACTCGCAAACAAATTGATTTGCAGTGCATCAAAAAAGCTGTGGACCGACTGCACCTAAGGTAGATGCGATCAAATATAGATCAACCAGGATGCGATAATAAGTATGCATTGCAAGCAACGTCTTCAGTGGTGCTGTGAACTGACAAAATTCTTCGCCACAACATTTGAAATTCAAGGATTCGCGGATTCAGCCGGCCAAGCAACTGTGACCGCCCTTGCGAACAGCATGGGGACAACAACATTTGTAGCTGAAATCCGTGCTGCTTCCCTCCTTTCAGCCTAGCCCGCATCCGCATTCTTCAAACTTCAGCGCCATGCTCCCTCATTGGCGGCTGGCCCACACCAGCTCGAACGTCTCATGACTCTTAGGATTACGTAGTTATCCAGGCTTAGTTCTTCAGCGATCGGCTTCCAATACTTTCTCTAAGGTCCAAGACTGAGTTTCGTGCCTCGGGGCATATAACATGATTGTCCTCTACCTCCTAAACTGATAATTGACCCAATCTGCGCGCAGGCCATTACACGCACGCACGTGGGTAGAAGCCTGAGATCAGAATGGCGCGCAAAATAGATTGGGCCTCGGCCCACCGCTTCGCGATGGCGCTTTAAAAGGTTCATCTGCGATTATTGAAATGGGAAGGCGCTCTGATCTGGGTGGAACGGTTGGCGGATCAACTACCCGTAACTGGTTTTCCGAATGCCTCTTGGCGCTGGTCGGGACTTGCCCACGGCGTCCCGGGCCTAAGTGGTTCCCCGGCCTCCCGCGCCATTCTGGAACCCCTGGGGGCTCTCTCGGGTCTCGTGAGGCGTGCTCTTGGATGACCACCTGGGCGGGCTTCCCTCGCCAAACTGGGCGCCACCGTGATATAGGGCCACCTCCGGCCGCACCCGCAGATGAAACGACAGTGCATCGAGCAAGCTGCCAGGGGGCGACACTGGGCCGGATCACCGTCACCGCATCCCGTCTCTGCAGTCGCAAGGCAAAGCGGGAGCAGCGGGCCCAGAACCGTGCCTTACCCTTACCTTGCCGTCGTCTTCCCAGCACCGCCGGCGTCCTCGAGGGCCGCGAGTCCCCCCTCGGACTCGAAGGCCTCGGCCACGAGGAGGAGAAGGATGAAGGGGGGGAAGGGAGAGGGACAGAGGAGAGACTTGAGACATGGATGTGATGCGGGATGGGTCAAAAGGGGATCCATTTCGAGAGCGGGATGTACAACAACGTGTACAGCGAGTCTGATAGCGGGCGCGATGCTTGGCCAGGATACAACCGGCAGCGGGGCAGCACCCAGCAAGGATGGGGTGAAAAAGGGCGGGAGAAAAACCTTTCGAGACTGGTGCTCAAGCGACTCCGTCGTGCTTGGTGAAAATCGTGCGAAAAAACGCCCATCTCATGATTACCCCCCCCCGTAATGGGCGACATGCCCGTGTCACCAGTTCCGCTTTGCCGTTTGCTGAGCGCGCATGGCTGGCAAGATCGACAGATGGGGTGCTCTTCTCACCGCACCCTTTATAACAACAGACTTCCGCTTGGTGCGGACGATCGATTATCGGTGGAGCACAGGCAGGCGCGCTCGGCGACTCAACTGACGCAGTCAGCTGGCGCGGCACTCAGTGGTGTGTGCGCTCGAGTTCCTCGCTGCTCTCGCACGTCAATGCCCGCAAACTTGACGATCTCGTGGCTCGTACGGTAGGCAAACCAGCATACTGGTGAGCGGAGTTACGGTGGTCGACTTTGTGACACAGTCACACGGGTCGCCTCATCACTGCTGGTTGAAGGAGCTGTAGTGGGAGCTCGTGTCGAATTTCTTCTCTTCCCGTCGCTGAACTTGACCATGTCGTGGTCATAATTGATCTGGCTGTCCATCACGTCGAGGATGAGCTCCCGGCCAGCGCTGCATCGGTCATTGGGTTGGCCCACATGTCCCGAGTGTTGCGCCAGAGGTGGTCCTCAGTCAGCTTGGTGCGCAGCTGGTGAGCTAACCACCACAAGTGACCTGCCACGCTGTTCTCGAAGGCGGCCGCACCGGGTCCATAAACAGCGCGCTGAAGGCGGACGTGCCGTCAGTGACGAGATCTGCAGGGATAGCGTAATCTCCTTCCTTCCTCAACCTCCTGATCTCCTCGGCAGAGGCGGGGCCGCGCAGCGTTTCGCGCGGCGCGAAGAGGTGCGACTGCAGTCCGTCGGCTCCGCCGCATGCTGCGAGCAACTCTGCGGCAAACAAGGATGTGGACACTAGCTTGCGCGATCGGCTCACTGCATCCAGCAGGTGACGCACCTAATTGCCAGTGCGACGGCACTTGCCGAAACGCATATCTACTGCTCCTCTCATGCCGTGCCCTGTCCCATCCTCCTGCTTGAACGACCGGTCGCTGTGCGCAATTAGTTCCCTGGTACACTCCATAGCTGGACATGCGACGCATGCCTTGGTCTTCTGCGTGGCTAGAGCGACGGAATTGAGCTGTTTCGCGCGTCGGATGAGCAGCTTGTTCTCGGCCCTCTGCAGGGCGACGGTGTACGCGGCGACGCGGCGCTGTGCGAGCAGGGCGTGGGCCGCTGCTCCAAAGAGGGAGACGCAGAAGTCTGGCAGCTGACCTCTGGCCGGCTCGCCAGCCTTTACATTGACCAGGTTGACGTGCCTGATCGGTATCAGAGCGTCGATGTACTCTCCCTGGTCGATCGTCACGGTGCCATCGGCATTGCGGTGTTAGTGCGCTCCGCGAATGGTGAAGTCGTCACAATCAACTTTGCTGCTGCGGAATGCGCTCTCGATGTGGCTGATCATCCGGCTGATGTGCTCCTTGTGTCCAGCGATCTTCAGATCGTCGACGCGCTTAGACAACGTCCGCCTGGTACGTCTGGTGTTCCACTCTGGTGGGCGCGTGACGTGGGCGAGCCTTGTTGCTCGTGGGCTCTGGGGCTCTGCGTTCCACTCTGGCGAGGCTCGGGGCGCAGCCTTGCTACCCGCGCCCAGCTTGATGGAGCCTGGGCACTCTGCGCGCTCGTCGTAGCTCTCGTAATTAGCGGGGCACCTGCCGGAGGATGGCTGCGCTGCCTGATGGCAGGCTGAAGTTCACCTCGCGGGGTGCTTCGACTTGTCCTGCATCTCAAGGTGGGTCATGCCCTGCAGGAGCGCCTTCTCGACGTCCGCGGCGATGCGCGCCCGGCCCGGGTGACGCGCCGCCAAGGAGGACCATCTGCGCTTATGACGTCCGCTTCGCCGCCCCAGCAAGCGTCTCCGGGGCGCCCGCGCCCCTGTCGCCGAAGCCCCCAAGCGCCGTGCGCCGCGCGGCGCCGGATGATCCGAGCAGTCCTGTGGTCTGATCCTTTCCAGTGCTTCCACTTGAAGTATCCTCAGGAATAGCCGACGGGGCTGTTGGTGCACCCCCCAAGGTGGTGCTGGCGGCGTCTTCTGGAACGTCGATGACGCACTCATCGAGCGATGCGTCTGGGTTTTGTCTGGTGTCTTCTGCCAATAGTGGCGTCGCCCAAGATAAGCTGAATGATGCGATCTCCCTTCCAATGCTCGCCGATAAGCTGATGGGTGTCGAATTTGGCGCCGTTGAGGTCGACCGGCTGGATGTCCCTCGTTTTCTGAGGGGGCCGCCAGGTAGCCAAGCTGCGGGTGCAGCCCAACCAGTGACTCGCATGTTTCGGGCCGGGCATCAGACGCACGGCGCGACCGTCTGGCAGATGAAAGCACCCGCGGGACAGATGAAGCTGAGCTCCGAGGATGTCGGGGCGCTGCCGTATCTGAGCGGCGATCTGCGCGCCCCTCGCGTCCTCCAAATGGGCGAAGGTCTGGCCCTGGATCGCGGCATGATGTGCTCCAGGGAGTCCTCCACGCGGTCCGGGGCCAGGCCTGCCCGCGCCATGCCGGTGCCCATGTCGTCGCAGACGGCGCCGAGTAAGGGCTGGGCGTCTTGCAGTCTGCATGCCGCATCGGCTCGGCGATGCTTGGCCGTCGCTTGGCCTTCCAACGTGTCAAAAGACATGACCTTTCGAGGTCCGGTCCAATCCGACGCGTCCTTCGTGCTCGGGGGTCTGTGGATCCCCGCCTGGTCGCCAACTGTGAATCGGCCCTCTTCGGACTCGGTGGCGCGGGTCCGGCGGGCTCAGTTAACGCGTGGGATCGATGTGGCCTCGAGCATGCGTTGCAGAGCGATCTCTCGGATGCGCCAGTGCAGTCGGCTGGGCTGCGCCTCTCCACCAGCCGGCGGCCCAGCGCCAGTGCCGCAGACACCGGGTACCTCGTCCTCTTCGTCTGCTTCGAGTGGTGGCAGCATGGATGGCTGCCTTCCGAAGACGACGTTGCATGGTGTCACGCCACCCACGAGTGAGGCTGTTGCCGGCAAAGATAGCGTGAGCCAGCGTAGAGTCGAACTTTTGGCCGATGTTGCCGAACATACTTTTCCGTGGCTCGCATCTGGCTTTGGTCGTTGAAGTCACAACCATTAGCCAAGTCGAAATTCTCGCCAGCACTGCGGTGGCGGTGGAAGGCAAGACAGTCCACGCCTCTCTACCGCAAGCCTGACTGATGTCGACGCCGTGGTCGAGTGATGTGAGGTCGGTGAGGAGCTGGTGGGCAACGTCGAACTCGGTGGGCTAAGATGCTTGAGCGCCAGCAAATTGGGGATCAGCTTCTGGCGCCAGGTCCGACGAGCCACGGAGTCACCATGTTGGCAAACCTGTGGCAAGACTGCCCCAGAGGTCATCCTCGCCGTACTCGTCGGCGTCGTCTGGATCGCCCAAGGGTGGAAGGCCGAGAAGATAGGGGGCTAGTCCAATGAGGTCGAAGCCGCAGTCGTCGGAATGGTCCTCGACGACCTGCGCGCGTGTCTTGGGCGCGTGGGCCTTCTTTCTCTTCTTCTTTTTGCGCAAGCGCTCTGCCGTCGGAAAGGCGCTGGTGGCGCAATCGCCGGACGCCCCCTGTCACCTCGTACCGGGCACAGGGCGTCTGGAAAAGCGCGTGTTCTGCCCCGGGCCCCTGCCGGGTGCAAGGTGTCTGGGGAAATTCGTTTTTGGTGGTGCGCCGCTAAAATGCAATTGTCCAGACAGGCGGTTTTCGGCAATTGCGGTGTTTGAGTGCGCGCGGTCCTGGGTGTGCTGCTGGATATCGTGCTTGCGTTCTGCCGTGGGACTGGAAGAGGTGTTCGAGTCTGGTGAACGCGCTGCCGTCGTGCCTCGTTCAAAGCGCGCTCTCCTCGATGCGCCATGTCTGGGAGGAGTGCAACTGCAGCGAGGTGCAAGTCGCAGCGCTTCGCGGCGCATCAGTGCCGAATGCGCTCGTTGGTTGCTGGTTGTCCAGTCGTCGATGTGCCCCTCCAGCTTGATGTTGCGTCGGCGCAGCTGGTTGCAGATCTGCGCCCAGGTAGGCGCCGTGAATGCTGCGCTGCTGTGTCTGGCCTCTGGCGGCAGAGGCCTGTGGGGGGCCCGATGCTGGCTCAAGTGGGAGACGTGGGTGTCGATCACCTGCCGTGGCAGGGGTCGCTGCTGTTGGCCATGCCCGCCACAGACCACAATCCTGGCGCCGGCATCGGTGACCCTGGCGCACCAGCTGGGAAGGGCGTTGAGAATGAAGGACCTCGCCCCTATTTGTGTCGCGCCTAAGCCGCGGCATGCCGTAGTTGGTGCCGGGGAACGCGCTGTCGGACAACGGCTCAGGCATCTTCGACGTCGTCAGTGCGGATGACGTCGAAGCCGTATTTTGTAGTGCTGAGGATGTGTGCCGTCCTCGCTCTGGGGCCCAGCCGGGGCGCCCTGGTCCTCATGCGCACTTCTGCCGGGGCAGGTCGACGGAGCTAGCACGGGGGGCTGGCTTGGCCATTTTTGCATATTCCGCAGTCGCCAGGGGACCCCTTCGGAAGTCGTGCTGCCTGCCTCTCTCGAAATGGAATCTAGGCCTGGGAACGTCGTGCCAGTGTGTTGAAAGCCTCCAGATCCAAGAGGCGACGGAGAAAAGTTGGGAACGACTCGGCATCGTCAATGACGCGTTCCAGGATATGACCTGGGCGATGCAATGGCCCTGCTCGACCGCGTGCGTTCGCGGGCCAGCGTCCGACGCGATTGCCTGGATCTCGTCGCGGAAGTCGGGGC